CCATGCCACACTTCTCACAGCAGTCTCACCAAAGATAGCGGAGACGACCACGATATCGTAGCACCGCTCCATGAAGCGCCGGTCGTCGTCCGACACGTCAAAGCCCGTGCCGTTGCTCACCTTGCCGCCCCACACAAAGCTGGCAAGAGGGGGGAGAGGGGGGGAGGGTTGTGGGGATTGGGGATGGGAGAAGCGGTGGAAGATGAGGAACCAGGGGTTAAGCTGGGTTGAAGAGGGGATGACTGGATGACATATTATATTTCAGTCCAAAACGTGAAAGCCTGTACCATAGCCCACCTTGCCTCCCCACACCAAGCTGATACGGGGTGGGTGGGGATGGGGAATGGGAGGAGAGGTGGGGGGAGAGGAGAGGAAGTGAGACTAGGGAGGGGAAGACTGGATGAGCCACAGCATTTCGGTTCGAATTGTGAAGCCCGTGCCATTGATCAACTTGCTGCCCCACACAACATACGTCCGTTCCATAACTCATCCCAGCACCTTCCACGCCCCTTTTCCCTCCCACGCCCCTTTCCCCTTCCATGCCCCTTTCCCCTTCCACGCCCCTTTCCCCTCCCACGCCCCTTTCCCCTTTCACGCCCCTTTCCCCTTCCACGCCCCTTTCCCCTCCCACGCCCCTTTCCCCTTCCACGCCCCTTTCCCCTTCCACGCCCCTTTCCCCTTCCACGCCCCTTTCCCCTCCCACGCCCCTTTCCCCTCCCACGCCCCTTTCCCCTCCCACGCCTCGCCCCTTTCTCTCACTCACCCGCAGTGCACGCGCATGCTCTCTTGGATCTTAAACGAGTCCTCCCGCTGCTGCAGCGACTGGTGTCCATTGAACCGCGGCCGGTTGCCAGCGCGCCTGGCGGCCCTCTCACTGGCGTCGTCCTCTGTGACGTACGCCAGGTGCTTCAGAATGGGCTCCTCTGTGTGTCCCCGTGGCGGGCGCATTGCCATGGCGTCTGGCAGAGGCAGGTAGCACACGGGGCAGGCTGGGGGGAGGATGGGGGACGCGGGATCAGGGGGAGCGGGGAGTGGGGGGAGCAGGGGGGAGAGGAGGCAGGTGTTTGGGTGTGGCAGGTGGTTTAAATGCCGGTGGATGGTGAGGGACGGGAGATGGGGCGCGCATGGATGTATGTGTGCCGGCTCGCCTGGCGGCCCGCTCACTGGCATCGTCGTCCTCTGTGACGTACGTGAGGTGCTTCAATATCGGCTCCTCCGTGTGGCCCCGTGAAGGGCGCATGCCCATGGCATCTGGCAGAGGCAAGTAGCACACGGGGCAGGCTGGTACGGGGAATGGGGGCCGGGGGGAGTAGGGGAAGAGGATAGTGGGAGGGAGAGGCGTGGTGGAGGGGAGAGGGGAGGAGGAAGTTGTGTGGGCGTGGCAGGTGGTTCTAAGTGAGTTGGATCCTGAGGGGAGGTGGGGGGTTGCATGGATGGACGTGCGCCTGCGCCTGGCGGCCCTCTCACTGGCGTCGTCCTCTGTGACGTACGTGAGGTGCTTCAGAATCGGCTCCTCCATGTGGCCCCGCAAGGGACGCATGCCCATGGCGTCTGGCAGAGGCAGGTAGCACACGGGGCAGGCTGATTCGGGGAGGATGGGAGACGGGGGATCAGGGGGAGCGGGGAGTGGGGGGAGCAGGGGGGAGAAGGGAAGGGGAGAGAGAGGAGGCAGGTGTTGGGTGCGGCAGGTGGTTCAGAGTGAGGTGGCTGGTGAGGGGAGGTGGGGCGCGCATGGGTGGGTGAGTGTGTGCTCCTGGCAGCCCTCTCACTGGCGTCGTCCTCTGTGACGTACGCCAGGTGCTTCAGAATTGGCTCCTCCGTGTGCCTGCGTGGGGGACGCATGGCCATGGCGTCTGCTAGCGTAGCGGCAGGTAGCACACGGGGCAGGCTGATTCGGGGGAGGCCGGGGGGGGGGGAAAATCAGTGAGGGGGGAAGGCGGGGAGGGAGGAGGCAGGCAGTGACAGGCGACAGGCACGTCAGCTCCTGCCAGGTAACCCAGGGGGCACGCTGCTTGGGCGAGGATGGGAAAAGGAGGAGCAGGGGGGGCTGGGAGCAGACGACGCATGGGACAGGCTGAATGGTGCAGTGGGGAAGAAGGCAATCTGGAGGGACGGTTGGGGCTGAGACTGGGCCGAGGGGAGTGAGGGGGGTGGAGAGGGAGTTTGTGGGGCTGAGAGCGGTTGAGGGGAATGGATATGGTGAGAGACGAAGTGACCACAGGACATTGAACAAACCAAACCCAATGCCCTCACGTCTGGTTCCAGTGGTTACCCCAGACACTCACGTCTAGGTCCAGTACGCTTCCTGTCGGTGGAAGGCGGTGGGAGGGTGAAATTGGCGCAGAGATGAGACGGGGACAGCACAGGATCCAAAGGGTTGATCTGCGCAGGGGGAGGAGGCGGAGAGGGGGGCGGGGGAGGAGCAGGCGCGCGCACTCCCATCCCCCTTCTGCTCTTCTTGGGTCTCTTCTCCCGCTTCGGCTTCTTCTCCTTCCGCTTCTTCTTCTTCCGCTTCTTCTCCCGTAGTTCATACACTCGAGCCTCCGTCTCGATCTCAACCCCCTCATCCTTCGCTGCATCCTGCCCCAAAAACGCACCCTGCCCCTCCAAACCGTTCTGCACCCTCGAAACATCTGTCCCCCCCAGAGCGCCCTGGCCCCCCGACTCATCCTGTGCTCCCGAAGCACCCTGTTCCCTCCGCTCATCCTGCTCCCCGCTTGCAGCGTTCTCCCCCCCCAAAGCATCAGGCGCAACCTCCCGCTCTCCCTCTCGCTCCTCAGCAGGCATAGACTGGCCGAGACCGTTCTGAACCGAAGTGTGGAACGAAGGCCGCTGCTCGTTCTGACTCCCATCCGTCAGCCCGCTTGATTGGTCGACGGCGGAATGCAATCTTTCAATATCAGATTCTGAATTCGCTGACCCCGTCCCTGTCAACGAATCCTCGCCATCGGTTTGTGCAGGTGATGGCGAATCTACGGCCATCAGTGCGCCTGTGTCATCCAACACACCGGCCCTCTTTGTCGGTTCCACTGAAACAGGACAAACGAACGGGAAAACAAGCAGGAGAACGAACGGGAGAATGGTTAACCACAATAGAAAAGAACGAAGCATCGCGGCTCGTCAACAGCAATTAACAACTTCGCCTTCTTTTCGAAAAAAACTGTAAAAGCCTCCAATCGGCATCAACCAAGCTACAAAGAACAAGCCAGATGGAACGAAAACGGAAGCTGGCCAGCCAATCAGTCACATTCCCCAGTCTGTCGGTCAATCCTTGATACTAGTACCTTGTGGTTGTTTCGACTGGCCGGAGAATCTGAGATCCTTGACGACGAAAATGGTGGAGATCGAGACGGCAGCCAGGAAGAGAACCATCATTGCTTTTCTCTTCCCCGGCAGGCTTCGTTTGTCGTTATTCATGGAGGAGGATCTGGTGGGTGCCGGCGACGCGTTCGACGCGGAGAGACGTTGCGCCTTCAGCGTCTTGTTGAGCGATCGCAGCGCGGTGAAGGAGGAGGATCGGTGTGCTACTATGTGCGACTCCTCCGGCGTCACAGGCGGCGATTCCATGGCCGGAGGAAGCAGTTACACGGGGAAGGTCGAGCTAGAGTGTTCATGAAGCACACGCATGGTTAAGATACTAGATTCTTGATGCCTGGAATCTTGATGCCTGGATTCATGAGGATAGGATAGAATGCATGTTAAGACATCGCTAGATCAAAGAAGTGATAAGGACGCCACGGAAGCACTGTGGTAAGAGTAACTACGATGGCCACATCGCGGTAGTTGCTTTATGTAGCATCGTAGCCGTTGATGTGATGGATTACAGATGCCAGCCTACGTCAAAGCGGATTTCTGCACGACTCGTTTCAAGCCAGATTCGGTCAGCGCTCTGCTGACTTCTAGGTTTAAAACAAGCTAGGAACTAAAGAAAAAAAACCCGGCGATTGAGGAGCTTCGGTGTTTGACCTATCTCACGTCGTGTGAGGATTCTATGAATAGCTTCTAGTCACTCGCCTCTCCCGACGAATGTCGCGGTTCCTCTGGATCTGAGATTGGAAACTTCGGACGTCCAGCGAAAATTCTACGAAGGACGAACAATCTATTCAACAGGTAAGCAGCTGAACCGGAAAAATGGGAGGTACGACGACGAAGATATGACATCTGGTCTCTAAAAAAGGAGGATACAAATAACTGGTAGTCAGCCATGGTTCAGTAGCACATACATCCTAGTGGACGGGAAGGTTCACTATCACCCAAAAACTTATTCGGCCGATTTATATTGATAATGAACCGCATTATCCCTGTCTACTGTCTGGGACAATCGCAGGGGAAGTTCACTTCACTGTCTTGAGGACCTGACAGGTGCTACAAAAGGAAGTTCTTGTAAGAGAAGTGGCTAATTAAAGAATTGAGGAGTGGAGAGGAGAACCCCACAATAGAAACAGATCATCGGGATTTGATTGGTGGAAGGTGAAGCTTCGCAGGACGTGAAGAGATTCGACGGGGACGATGGGGGCACACGATAAGTGATGTGACGCACGCGTCCAGCGGGTAACCGCGCCACAGCATGCGAGATTCACGACGGGTGACGACTGCCTCCACGAAATCCCTTGTGTGACGTCGTCAATGGAGCCACGGCCGAGGACGATCCAGCACAACTGTGGGAACAATGCGACGGCTCCGATGTCTTCTTGGCCACACGATGCCGCAGTGTCTTGATGTGAAAGAACGACACCCCATACTCACTATGAACTGCGTCATTAACTCTCACGATTCAGGGTGGCATAATCATTTCTGCTAACAATCAGGAAGAAACCAGCCTCAAACCTTTAGGCCTTCCTTCTTTGTCATACTCTATTGTTATAGGAGCACCATACAGATCCAGGCTCCTTCTTCCCCCCTGAATAGGACACACAAAACAGCAACATTGAAGCATGCAGAAGAGCTTGAGGGTGAATCGGATAGAGAAACAAGCACTTTGAATGTTGTAGCTTCCAAACCTCTAGAATTGCGGTGGTTAAGAGGCATGCTGGACTTCGTATGGTCGCAATCATTCCATTGGACTCCACATCTGCCACTGTCATTTTCTTTGAGTTGATGCACTGTGCAGCCGTAACGAATTCCGCAATGCTGCGGTAACCGTAACCCAGCTGGCCAGCAAATCTTCCTGTTGCATCCGGAGTGTACTGGGGATTTTGGAGACACATCAAGCAAAGAGAACATGGTCGAACGGGAGAATGTGAGAGTGCTTGTTCTCCAGCGCAGAAATAACAGTTGTGTGTAAATAGGAGAACAAAAAAAAACAGTGAGTGGTAATACCTTCATGTACAGTGGGTTGAGTGTAGCAAATCCAGCTGCATCAGTTGACATGGTGAATCCTCTATGAGCTTGATCCACCCGCACCTCACCCTGCCACCATGCAGACATACATCCATGATACATGATACATGCATACACGATATATGCATACATGCGTACATCCATGCATGGATGTGCAGCATGGCCGTCACAAATATATAAGCAAGCATGCATGCATGCATGTGGTGATGAGATTACCTGTCATGCGATGGAAGTACCTACTGCGTGTGGCAGTCGGGAGGAAAAACAGTGTCACATATGCTGTTCACATTAGCTCATGTAAACAGCATGCACACTCTGCCATACCTGGTGGCCCATGTAGTGAAAGTACTGCTGTGTGTGGCAGTCAGAAGGAGGGGCAATCCAGCTTGCAGTGTACACTGCAGTGCCGCATGAACCGTCCTTGTTCTGCCACTGGACCTGCTTGTAACGAGTACAACAGATAGTGCAAGAGCCAGAGGTCAGTGCGAAGGCGTACTCCCACATGTGAAAAGGAACGGCCCCAAACAATCATTTTTTAGCTCGAGACGGCCACACAGCAGAAAGCAGGAATACTGAGCCAGCCCACTGACACACCGTGACAGCTTAGGAAGAAATTCTAAGCATACAGAGACAGAGAAAAGTCCAGAAATAAAAACTTAGGTAAGTAAGAAAAGCCCAGTCCGGCGACACACCATGAGGGTGATTGCACCCTCCACATCCACCGCCCCAGCAGCACCTCCCCTTGCCCCCTCGTCTTCCAACGCACAGCATAAACCCCAGGCACAGCCCACAGACACTCAGACACGGCCTGGACAGCAATGGTTGAAAGAAAGGCGTAGAGAAAAAGGCTTAGCCCAGCGACACACCATGAAGGTGATTGCATCCTCCACATCCACCGCACCAGCAGCACCTCCCTTTGCTCCCTCTCCTTCCACCCCCAACCAGGCACGGCCCACAGACACATGAGATAAATCCTTAGCCCAGAGACGCACCATGAGGGTGATTGCGTCCTCTACATCCACCACCCCAGCAGCAACCACCCCAGCAGCAACCGCCCCAGCAGCAACCACCCCAGCAGCAACCGCCCCAGCAGCAACCGCCCCAGCAGCAACCGCCCCAGCAGCAACCGCCCCAGCAGCAACCGCCCCAGCAGCAACCGCCCCAGCAGCAACCGCCCCAGCAGCAACCGCCCCAGCAGCAACCGCCCCAGCAGCAACCGCCCCAGAAGCACCTCCCCGCGCTTCTTGCAGCACTTGGCTTGCCTTCCCCCTCGCTGCACTCGCCACCACTACCACTGGCCGCGACTGCCCCTGCACCGCCCACGCGTGGAAATCTGTAAGGGTGAGAAGGGGAGACGTGATGGGGTTGCAGGGAGTGAGGGGATGCGAGGGCGAAAGGGAGTGGGGGAGAAGTGGGGAGTGGGGGAGAAGTGGGGAGTGGGGGAGAAGTGGGGAGTGGGGGAGAAGTGGGGAGTGGGAGAAGGGAGTGGGAGTGGGAGTCCTAAGTCTCCTCCCGTGCATCGTGCAGCACTTGGCTGGCCTTCCCACTGGCTGCACTCAACACAACTGGCCGCGACTGCCCGTGCACTGCCCACGCGTGGAAATCTGCAGGGAAGAAAAGGGGAAAGGGGACGAGTGGGGAGGGTCAGGGTAGTGCAGGGCAGGGCAGGGGAGGGGCAGGGCAGTGAAGGGCAGGGCAGTGAAGGGCAGGGCAGTGAAGGGCAGGGCAGTGAAGGGCAGGGCAGTGAAGGGCAGGGCAGGGCAGGGCAGGGCAGGGCAGGGCAGGGCAAGGCCAGGGTCGGTTAGAGGTTGGGTTGGGTCGCGTTGGGTTCGCGGTGTAATGCATGTCAGAAACGTAAATCTCATGTGAAGCATCATACATGCTTCACAAGCAGCACTGCACCCTCCGATGTGGTATGATTTGAGGTAAAAGGAGATGTCTGAGCTCCTGCCAGAGTTGTGCTGCCAGAGTTGTGCTGCCAGAGTTGTGCTGCCAGAGTTGTGCTGCCAGAGTTGTGCTGCTTTTAAGGATTCCCAAATGCGGCTTGGATTGTGTGGTGGTGTGCAAGCCACACCCACCCTGCCCACCGATGTGGTGCGAGTTGAGGTAGAATTAGATGTCAGAGCTCCTGCCAGATTTGTGCTGCTTTTGAGAGTTTGTGCTGCTCTAAGCCAACTCAGATTGTGTGGTGAACAAGCCAATGTGGTGTGCTAGCCAGCTATACCCACCGATGTGGTGCGAATTTAGATAGAAGGAGATGTCTGAGCTCCTGCCAGCCCACCCTGCTTAGCATAGGGTGGTGGGATGGGGTGGGATGGGAAGATGGGATGGGGTTATGGGATGGGGAGATGGGATGGGGAAGCAGGGTAAGGGAAGTGACAGACAGAACTTAGGAGTGACTAACAAATGAAGGGCGAATGCAAATGCAAGGGATGACAGACAGAACGTACGAGCGATTAAGAAGTGAAGCGCAAATGCAAATGCAAGGATATCCATTTCTTTCTCGGTCTTGTTATTTAGTGTCTAATCACGCACCTGCGTACGTGTGCAGCTGCTGTTTCGGCTGGGTCATGGTGCTGGAGAAGAAGGCGAAGGGACCCAGCCCCCTGATGCGGTCCCGCGCATCTGAAACGGGGCAACACAAAAACATCGAGTTGACAAACAGCAACAGCAGTAACAAACAGCAACAAGCAGCAAAAAACATCATGTCAAGATGACGAAAACACAGAACAGAATGGGAATGCGTGTGTAAGGATAGATGGGGTGGACTCCAAAACACCAATACTTGACCGAGCTAACCGTTTTGAGAATGCACTGGGACACGGCACTTATTGAACAAGAATGCGTGTACTGTTAGAACTTGAGCTTAGAATCCATGCATTAGTAATGAGCTCAAGGCTCTTTAAGTACATCGGAAATGGGCAAGGTAAGGATGGGGAGAGAATCGGGGGCAATCGTAGGGGATTGGGGGTAATCCCAAGGCAATCTCCAATTGGTGGGTTGGAGATTGCTTGGAGATCACATTTGGGTTTGGTTGGGATGTGGGTGTACACCCAACCAAACACAAAGTGCACACTACACTAGGATATAAAAGTGCAAGTACAAAATGTGAGATTGAGGGCTAACACTAACATGTACCACTGTAGATGGGGTCAAAACGCTTGTGAAACGAATTTCGAGGTGCGTCAGACGCAATCGCAGAACAAGAATGCGTGTACCAGTGTAGATGGGGTCGAATCGCTTGTGAAACTCAACTGCCACCAGCACACCCTTTTCTCTGCGGGGGGGGACAAGACAAGGCGCACAAGGAAAGGGAAGGCGCACAAGGAAAGGAAAGGGAGGGGACAGAGAGGGAGAGGAATGGGCTGCAGCCGATGGGCTCAAGATGGAAGAAAGATATGGCCAAAACGGAATGGAACTGCAAGAGGAAGTGTAGAGGCCTGTTTGGCTCACGGAGCTAAATGAAGGCAGCTTATTTTGCCAACAGCCCAACAGGCCTCTAATGACTATAACGGAGCTGTTGAGTTGACTATAACGAAGGTGACTGTTAATTCAGCTCAGAATAGAAGAGAATATTTGTCGAATCAGCAGCTTGATAAAGGAGGATTACTCTGCTGCTTGCACGAGGTGGTGGTGGTGTTGGAGGGACTTCACTGCTGGCTTCGCTATAAGCACATGCAGCCCTGCATGTGAGAGAGGGGGGGGAAGGGAAGGCAGTACGATGGTGCGCGAGACACAAACACCAGAGACGGGAAGAGATGCAGAATGGAGCCCAGATCAAACAAAGAGGACAAAAGCAATGCTGAGTGTTATCACAGAGTTATACCTGAAAATGGAGGAAACCGGTTGTGAGGCTACCGTGTTGAATTGCCGCAAGGGCGATGGGGTAGTGTGTGATGGGTGAGATGGGGCGATGGGTAAGAGCTACCACCCACCATGCTGGATGGCAGCAAGGGCGATGGGGTAGTGAGTGTTGTCGGGACTCAAGATGGTGACCATGTCTCCTGGCTCACCTCCCACCTGACATGCATGCACCCAGCTAACACATGTGACAGTGAGGTGAGTTCGCCTTTGTGAAATTTACCACATGACCCACCGTGCTGAATGGCAGCAAGGGCAATGGGGTAGTGCGTGTTGTCGGGAGTGAAGATGGTGACCATGTCTCCCGGCTCACTGTCTCTACCTCCCACCTGACCTGACATGCATTCACCCAGCTAACGCATGTGGCAGTGAGGTGAGTTCGCCCTGGTGAGAGATAATACCCACCGTGCTGAATGACAGTGAGGGCGATGGGGTAGTGAGTGTTGTCGGGAGTGAAGATGGTGACCATGTCTCCTGACTGCATGCGCGCCATGGCTGCTAACCACGCTGCTAGGTATAATGCGTGGGGTGAGCTCACCCTTGTGAGAGCTACGACATGACCCACCCACCGTGTTGAATGGCAGCAAGGGCGATGGGGTAGTGAGTGTTGTCGGGAGTAAAGATGGTGACCATGTCTCCCGGCTGCATGCGCACCATGGCTGTTAGGTATGCTGCCTCATCCTCCTGTACATCGTCTGACACATGCACATGCACATGCAGATACCCACATGCGCACACACACACATGCACGTGCATGCACACACATGTATGCATATGTGGGCACGTGCACATGCACATACAGGCATGTGCACACACACACACACACATGGATGCGCACAAACATGAGCATGTTAGATTATGTTCAATTCTAACAGAGCAAACACACACATGAACACACACATGGATACCCTCGCACGTTTCACACACACACACACAATATTACATCTACATTCAATATTACATCCACATTCAATAATAAATCTACTTTCAATATTACATCTTCATCCAATATTACATCTTCATCCTGACCAAACCCTCGCTACCCCTCGCATGCAACCCTCGCATGCACCCCTCGCATTGCATGCACCCCTCGCATTGCATGCACCCCTCGCATTGCATGCACTCCTCGCATGCGCCCTCGCATTGCATGCAACCCTCGCATGCAACCTTCGCATGCAGCCTTCGCCCCAAGAAACATACCTGGTGGGTACGTCTCGAGAGTCACATCCATGTCTCGATACACGTCTGCAATCTTCCTCTGCAGCGTCTCTCTGATGGCTGGGAAGTGCTGCCCGGACCGATCGCACAGCACCAGCCGCTGCACCTGCCCCAGCCGGCGCAGGTCCATTAGCGTGATGGCGATGACACTGCACAGGTGGAGGGGAATGCGGGATGTGGCAGAAGAATGGGGTCATTCATAAGTCACACAGCAGCGGCTGCTGCACCTTCCCCAGACGGCGCATGTACATCAGTGTGATGGCGATGACACTGCACATACGATTCTGTGAGGGGCATGTGCGATAGGAATGGGTCGAATACTGGGTCGAATTCATTTGCACAACACCAGCAGCTGCACCTTACCCAGACATTGGAGGTCGATCCATGTGACGGCGATGACACTGGATGGGTGAGATGTTGTTGGTGGGGGGTGTGAATGTGGAAGAGGAATGGGTTCATTTAATTTCTGCACAGCAGCAGCAGCTGCACCTTCCCACTCGCAGCTCTCCTCGCTGGTCGATACAAACCCGGAGACTTTTGAGTCAACAGTCACCCTCACCTTAACCCCTTACTGCCAGCATGGCCCTTCCCAGCACACACCCTGCAGACTTGTCACTCGCAGGTCTCCTCGCTGGTCGGTACAAACACGAAGGATTTTGAATTGAGAGTCACCCTCACTCACCTCACCCCCATCCCTTCACCTCATCCCCACACTGCCAGCGTGGCCCTTCCCAGCACATACCCTGCAGACTTGTCACTCGCAGCTCCCTCCTTGGTAGGTACAAACCCTGACGAAGCAACCAACAGCAGGAAGGAAGTCAGATATGATCTGGTTGGTGAAAAAGAGTTTACGTTTGGCGTATTCACTCATCTACAGTGTACTCGCCAGCGCCTATCATAAGCACACTAATTGGCTGCTCCATTTTCTCGAATCCTTGTAATCAGTGACGAGGAATCCCGTAATGCGGATTTGTTTACTTCAAAAAAAGAAAATCGGACTCGGACTTTCGTCTATGCATGTAAGGTCAATAGCAATACGGATTCCGCGTGATGCCTTTGTGCGTTGATAATCATCGACGCGCTGCCGATAAGCGACTGATGGTAGAGCATCAATCTGTGTCCCGGACAAGACACACTGCAGACGTTGTATTGTGCCACACTGCCTGATTCTCTGCTGAGTCGTGGACAAGATTCATAAAACACTATCTTACCAGCCCGACTCAAACCGTCATTATCTGCATGCTAATTGCGACTCGCATTGAGCAACTAAAATCCGCTGAATCGAGGTATCCAGAGTCTCCGGGCTCGCCTCGCCACACCAATCATTTCATTGTTTTGTGGATTGGGCTGTCAACATGGGAGGATATGGCATGCGGATCTCCAACATTCCGTTGTAAACATTTGGCAGCCTATGTCAGTAGTGTCCACTCTTGCACTGACTTTCACCTGCCAGCAAGTGATTCAATTACTGATTTCACATTTAATGTCATGATGCATTACCATATCAAGACGTCTCTCGGCCCTAATGAGCTTTTGTCTTTCCTTTCACTTTTCCTCTTCTTCCTTCTCTCCCTCCATGAGCAACCTCTCCTTCATGCTTCTTCCCATCCTTCGGCTCCACTTTCTTCTTGGCCTTCCCAACTGGAATCCAGGCCAGGGAGCAGAAGAAAGCGAACAGAAAGAGCACAGAAAACCGGACCTCGATTCCATCCCAGGACGATCGCATTGCATAGAACGCCAACACCGACAATCCCACGGTTCCCCCAGCAGAAGGACCTAAAATGGCCATAAACCCCCCAGCAACCACAAGGAAGCTTCCGCCGATCATATCAATGTCCTGGTCCTTGAAATCCTCCCAGGATGTGGGAAACGCGTGCGCATATGGATCCTTCGAGACGACCGGATCCAACGGCTGTAAAATGCTGTTCCATTCAGGTAACTTAATGGGCTCTCCCGAGAAAGATTTCTGGAGGCTTTGGGCGAGAATTCCCGGGTAGAGCAGGCAGCGGAGCAGCGTGGAAGGCGCTCGACCGTAGGCGTGAAGCTCCGTGACGACTATGTCAAGCGGGGACTTGCAGCGGATTCCGGAGCATGGAAGACTGCGAGAAGTGATCAGATTGGTAAAAAGGAAGAATAAGTCTTCATGGTGGAGAGAGGTTCAAGCAAATTTGAGAGAATCTGCCGGAATTTTGCCAACTCAACTCGAAAAACGGCGCGCGAAAGAGGATCAGGAGGAAGAACATATGGCTGAGCCGCGTTTGCCATGACCACACAGCCGGTTTCCGCTGGTCCATTCCCGAAGGTAGTGAGAGAGATGGAAAACGAGAGAAGACAAGTATGACCAGCGAAATATTTCTGAGCAGGGCAGCTGTGGGAATCAGCAATCTCGCGTCTCAGGACGCGGTAAAAGTGACCGGGGGCCATAACAATCTGCCACCGCACTGTAACCCCGCTTTTCACATCCATGGGAGTACAGAACCTATTGTAACCGCGTTAAATTTAACGCGGAATCCTACACTGCTGGGATTCAACCCTTCAATGAATACGCTTCCGATATATCTCGTATCTTTGCAATCTACGTTATGGCATGGAGAGGTTGTCAATATCGGAAACAAATCCAAATGTTGTAGCCACGGAGTCGATGCAGCACGCCAATAAACATACACCAGCTGGTCATCTGCCTTCACACACGGAAAGCACTCTGAGCTGCCATATCACCACCCCTTGCTGACTCAGCTCGGCCATGCGTGGCGAAAAGACGGAAATGCCTACCTCGATCTTGGCTGCTCCATCAATCACCGCTCGATGTCACTCGCCCTCCTGTCACCCATCCGTGCGATCGCGCAAACCAACTCGCACCACGCGCGAACCGCCAGCCCGATACGTCAGACACCCCACGAAAGGCGGAGATTCGACTGCCAGCTTCCCCTCCACACCCGCGCAGACCCAAACCTCTTCCCCTCGAACGCTCGATCCGCCAGCGCCAGGTGCTGAACTCAGTCTGGCGGGACAATCTTCCAGCTGTACAACGATTGGCCACCTTGAAATTTCCACGTCACCTCTCTGGGGAACATCAGATCAGAGATCAGTGCCGCTCTCCTCATGGGATCATCCCCCTCGCAGCGCAAACCCGTCTCGTTCCCCCGCCTCCCCCCCACTTCCCCCCCTAGGGTCTCTCCTCCCCTGATTTTTGGTCTGATCTTTCAGCTCCCCTCCCTAATCAGCTGATTGAGTGAAGTAGCTTTGAGTTGCTTCAGCTTTATCTTATTTCCAGCCTGATTTGACCAGATCAGGGACATTGAGCCTCTAATTTCTGTGCGCCTAAAATCGAAGAAGGCCGTGCGATAACACACATAGCAGCTATGGCTTCTACAACGGCCTGCGTGTCCAGGGTGAATGTGTTCAACCCATTGATTCAGGGAAACACCCTCAGGTCAAGATGTACAAGCACCGGTGCGTTTTGGCACAATGTCATCCAATGCGTGGCTTTTAAAGTGGCCGCTACACTGCTCGTCCATATTTGCCTGACTCTTCTTTTACAATAGCCTTGATTACTCTCGGAACCCCTTTGTACTTCTCCCTCACTTTTAACAACCTCCTGATTCTCTCTTGCGTTTAACAGTGCGTCTGGCTGCTCCGGCTTTTCGGCCGGCTCTCCGAGCTGCTCCCGTAGCTCCTCGTTGCAGCTTCGAGGACTCGTCTTCTTCGGCATCCTCCAAGCTCGTTAAACGGAGCACCACTTCCATGTAACTACCTACAATTAGCCCCTAACGATGATCGCGCAACTTCACGGCTAACTAAACACCTCGCGAAACATTGGATTGAACATATCGCATATTTATATGATCAGCCATTTTCCTGCAGGAAAGAAACAATGTCGTAAGCTGTTCTTCTGTCCGTCCCTGAACGGCAGCCATTGAACAACTTTTAATCTCTCACGAACGGCACCCTGTTCTTCTGTCCGTCCCTGTAGTGTTGCTCAAGCTGCTGAGGGTGCTGCCGCTCCTGCTCCTGCCGAGGGCCCAAGTTCCCTTAAGAAGTTTATTGAGACCCTCACCACCCTCTTCCCACTCTGGGTAACTAGCTACCTTTCTCGTTGTTCTTATGCGTTTTATTCCTGTTTTCTTTCTGGTATCCTGTCTAACGCTAACGTACTCATTTCGCTTCACTGTCGCTTCCATTTTCTCCATGCAGGTCATCCTTGGAACCGTCATCGGTCTCGTTAAGCCTTCAGCTGTAAGCCTTCTCAACCTAAGTCACCCCTCTGATCCTCTTCCACTTTCACCTGCCCGTCAAAGTTAAGCAATTTTCAGTATCATTCTTTTTTCCAGTAACGTTCATGTGCTTGTTTTTTTCTTCTTTCAGGTGACATGGCTCCAAACCGACCTCTTCACATACGCTCTCGGTTTCCTCATGCTCTCCATGGGCCTCACGCTCACCTTCGAGGACTTCCGTCGCTGCCTCCGCAACCCCTGGACGGTAAACCTTTGATCCGGAATAATCACCGCCTGAGTTCGTCACTGACAAATGGTGCGATGATCCATGCACAGAACGCTACTCTAAGTTGCACAATCCGTTCCTCCTCTCGTTCAATCTTTCCACAGGTCGGAGTCGGTTTTCTCGCGCAGTACTGCATTAAGCCCATTCTTGGCTATGCCATTGCTCTGGTAAGGAACTGAACCACGAAGTAAGCTAAACACTCACATCAACTCATCAACCTGTAGTGGGAATGCCAGTCCTTTTCAACCTTTTAACGCCCTCCTGTTTCACTTTGTTTTTCTTCGTTCGTATTCGTCCCATGTCATTCTAATGCGTTCCACTCGGTTTCGCCTCCTGTCAATATCGGTTGTGTTCCAGGCGCTGAAGCTCCCCGCCCCCCTGGCCACCGGGCTCATCCTCGTGTCGTGCTGCCCCGGCGGTCAGGCGTCCAATGTCGCCACCTATATCTCTCGCGGCAACGTCGCCCTCTCCGTGCTCATGACCACGTCAGTCTTCGCCCTAACCCCCGAACCCTGCTTCCTTTTCCTGTCCCGTCAGGCTCAAGTGTAGATTCCATCGAAACTCGCTTTCACATGCATCCACCCTCGTGGTTTCAGTTTAGACGTGTAACTTCGCTTCTTTTCTTTCTCCTTTCGGTATGCCACCACGGCAGGGCGTCCACCATCGGCGCCATCTTCATGACGCCCTTCCTCACCAAGGTCCTTGCCGGCCAGCTGGTGCCCGTCGACGCCAAGGTACGCGTGATCTCTCATTTCCACACCATCGAGGTTTTTTTTTCCCTCGTCAAGGCCGACCGAGCGTACTCAACATTATGCTATGCTTTGCTTTCCTGCAGGGTCTGGCCCTCAGCACTTTCCAGGTCGTGCTTGTGCCCACCATTTGTGGAGGTGAGAAACCTTAATCCCACCTACACCTGTGCATTGAAAGCAGTAATGTAAGCTGTTGCTTCACGGAGCGGTTGTTCCATCGAGTAGCCTGCTGACTGGTAATTTTCTTTCGTGCATCTCCTTCCCATGATGCAGTCCTGGCTAACGAGTTCTTCAACGACATCACCAAAAAGATTACCTTCTTCACGCCACTTGTTGGCGTCGTTCTCACAACCCTGCTCTGTGCCTCCCCGGTACTTATCCATTGCACCCTTTCTCGTTCCTCTTCCGACTTGTTGCTCCTTCTCGAATCTTTTAGTCGTCACGTCACGTCAGCTTTTAGACTAGTCGCCCCTCACCCTTTCCCTCCCTGTCCTTGCCTCTTCCTCACCCTGACACCACCTCCTCACCCTTGGCATCATCACCCCACCCTTGCCTCACATCCCACCCTCGCATCACCCCTCTCCTTGCATCAAGCACCCACCCTTGCATCGCCCCTTTTTCCCGTTTTCTACCGCAACAGATTGGTCAGGTGGCGGAGGTGCTCAAGGCCCAGGGCGCGCAGCTCATCCTCCCCGTCGCAGCTCTGCACGCCTTCGCCTTCGCTCTGGGCTACTTCCTCTCGAAAATCTTCAACTTCAGCGAGTCCACCTCCCGCACCATCTCCATTGAGTGCGGCATGCAGGTGAGATAGGCATGCTGGCAGGGTTACATCTGGCATGCACATCAATGCGCCATGCATGTGAGTTGCATGCAGGTCAGCTGTATGACAAACAGCCCTACAGATACGCATGAAGCATGCTTCCACCGATAACCTTCAATCTTGCACACGTCTTCAGAAAACGGACATGCCAATGACAACTTTCCTCCCTATCTTTCCCACCTGTTTCTCTGGTTTTCTTCCTTGGTTGGCTTCAGAGCTCGGCCCTTGGGTTCCTGCTAGCGCAAAAGCACTTCTCCAACCCTCTTGTCGCTGTGCCATCTGCTGTCAGCGTTGTCTTCATGGCTGTAAGTTCCTGGACATTCATTGTTGGATCCAGTGTTTGGGAGCTTCGTGAGTTCAATAGTGGCTTGTGTTTGCTTGTGGCATTCAATGCTTGTTGTTGATAAGCTGCCTTTGTCTGTGTACGTCCCTCTGTCTGCAGCTGGGAGGAAGTGCTCTCGCTGTCTTCTGGCGGAACAACCCACTTCCCAAGGATGACAAGGATGATTTCAAGGCTTAGACGTGATGCATTTGAATCTGTGGGGCTGCAGCCCCTTTTTTCAGTATCATAATGTAGACGGTTTCTCGCTTTTGAGTTGCTCAACTCTTTTAGGTTTCGCTTCATATATACGCATTTGTTGGATTCCAATGTATTGTCAGTACCATGAGATGCATGTGATAGTACTGCTCTGACCCAGTGTTGAGCGTGCATCAAATGGTGCATTCTAGCTAGTTCCAAATTCCTATCCTGATTTAATGAAGCCTAAACCCTACGTTCTTTTGATTAGGGTCACACGTATGTTTTGCCATAATTAGTGGACCTGGGTTGGAAAAGGACAGGGGCTGGAAAAGGACTATACATGCACTAGGGGCGCTAATACGCAGCACTAATCTATAATCATATGATGGCAGGACCAATCGATGTACGGTATTAACGAAGTGGCCGGCTCCCTTTATGGAATCAATACGTTGGGCGACGACGACGACTCAGCAGCAGCACCTGCGACACCTCCTTGCAATTTCGTCGCTGGGACGACGAAACCAATCCCATTTCGCGCGACACACGAATCTCAAGGGTGATGTGTTTGCGGTTTGCCGTTGGAAAGCAATTATCGCACCCAACCCAGCGAAGTCAGGTGAACTGACCAAAAGCCAGTCAACAGCCACTGTCGCGTGATTGTCAATGGCCTGGCAGGAAGAATTCAGCCGTCACTGCCGAATTTTTTCCTCCCTGCTGCCCACCGCCAAACTTCTCCCTCCTCCTCGCAAATTCTCCAATCTTGACATTTCGCAAAATTTGTCGAGCGTGGAATTCCGCGACTCGATCGGAATATATTGGAGTCAACCAAAATTTGCCCCTCCTTCGCCACACCTCATCTTCCTTCCATTCCTTCCTCATCATCCATTGATCCATCACCTCCTCCTATTACCTACGATACAACAATCCTTCGTACTTCAGTGACAGTTTCTCGTAAGCTTTACTTAGCTGTCTACATTTTTCCGTCTCCTGTCCATATACTGAAGTTTTGAAATTGAAATTTGCGTTCTCAAGAATATTCAAGCGTTACATAGAAGCCAACATCGAGTATTGAAGCGAGACAAAATATTATAGATCATTGCTGCTTATAAAAATAGAATACGAGAAGGCACTAGGTGCCAATGGGGGGCTGCGTGTCGATTGAAGAGGACCCCAGAGGCCGAGTGGGGCCAGCTCCTAGCCGCTCATCATCCCGCGCAACCCACTCAAACCGCGTTGCACCGCAAAGCCCCTCTACAGCAAGCAAGCGCTCGGCGCGCAAGTCCTCCCCAATGCGATCCCCCTCTTCCGCTTCCGCTTCCGCGTATCGTTCTGGAGGACTCCTCCCCAAGTCCAACGAGAGCAACGCCAGTGCCTCCAGTGCCGGCAGCGGAAGCGGCCGCCGATCCTGCCCGCAAACACCGCGCGGGGGTTCTGGCGGCGGCTTCCGCACACCCCCTGGCAGCGGCGGGCTAGGGTCCGGCCGACGCGGCGGCGCGCTTGCAGATCGAACGGCTCTGGCGAACGGCGGGGCCGCCATGTCATCGCTGCGCGAATTCTCGTACCAGGAGCTGTGGCTGGCGACGCGGAAATTCGAAAAGGAGGGGAAGCTGGGGGAGGGCGGATTCGGGAGCGTTTTCCGGGGAACCATCGAAGAGGATGTTTGCGCTTCAGGCGCGGGGATGGGCGCGGGGAGCGGGGAGGGCGGAAGGCGGAAGTTGCAGGTGGCGGTAAAGGTGCTGAATCAGGGGGGCCAGCAGGGGGAGACGGAATGGAAGACGGAGGTTCGGTACCTAAGCGAGCTTCGGCACCCGAACCTGGTGCGGCTGGTCGGGTACTGCTCGGACGGGCATCACCGGCTGTTGGCGTACGAGTATCTTCCGTACGGCAGCCTCGAGCGATTCCTTTTCACTCGTGAGTTCAAACTCATCCGTTTCTTTGTAACCGTTTTCAAAGTCACCCGTAACTCGAGACTCGATTGGCGTACGAGTATCTTCCTTGCGGCAGCCTCGAGCGACTCTTCACTCGTGAGTTCCTGTTCAGCGATTCCTTTTCAGCCAATTTTAAGACATCCTCAAAAATCAAATCACTCCGCTGCTCGTCATTCGTGCTTCCCTTTCACCTGCCCCGCTTCCCCGCCCCCCGCCTCCCTCTTCCCCTGCCTTTCTTCCCCCCTGCCAGGCGCAATACAGCCTCTGCCATGGCCGGTGCGCATGAAGGTGGCGCTGCACGCGGCCGCTCGTCCCCTCCCCTCTTCTTCTCATATCCATTCCTGTTCCCCCCTTGCTCCCCTCTTCCCCTTCCCCTCTGCCAGGCGCCATCCAGCCCCTGCCATGGGCGGTGCGCATGAAGGTAGCGCTGCACGCGGCGCAGGGCTTGGCGTATCTGCACGAGGAGGCGGACCGGCAGATCATCTATCGCGACTTCAAGGCGTCCAACATTCTGCTGGACGAGGTGCGTGCGTGAAGCGAGTCGGGTAATAACGGGCACGGGGGGATTTGTGTGTCTGAAGGCGTGCCTGCACTGCACGAGGAGGCGGACCAGCTGATAATCTACCGTGACTCAAACCTCCCATCGCGTTGATTTCCACGCCCTTCCCCCCTCATCCGTATGCTCAAATCCCCATTACACGCCTCCCCCATCCTCCCCCCCCCCACTCTCTCAGGACTTCAATGCAAAGCTCTCTGATTTCGGCCTGGCAAAGGACGGGCCAGAGGGCAACCAGACGCACGTGTCAACACGGGTCATGGGCACGTACGGCTATGCCGCCCCCGAATACATGATGACTGGCCACCTCACCGCCAAGTCAGATGTCTACAGCTTCGGAGTCGTTCTCTTGGAAATGATTAGCGGGCGGCGGGCCATGGAGCCGGAGTTCCCGAGGCGGCAGCAGAATATCGTCGAATGGGCTCGGCCGTTTCTGGTCGATCCGGCGAAGATGCTGCTATTGGTGGATCCGAGGGTGGGTGGCAAATATTCAGTGAAAGGCGCGCAGCGGGCGGCGGTTTTGGCACGAAAGTGTCTGAACAAGGACCCGCATGCGCGACCTCTAATGTCGGAAGCGGTTCGGGTGCTGTCTTCAATTCAGAACTTGATAGACATTGCCAGCAAGATGGAGCAGGCTCAGCGGCTACACGGTGCTTAGTCAAGCGCTTGTTGGTGTGAGAACCAAGCATCCTAGTGGACTGAGCAAGATAGGGCTAAATTGGGAAATGAGGGTTGGCTCCAGTCGGGGCTACTCATACTATTGCTGGACTAGCTGTGAATTGCACAGCTTGCGTCGTGCTGGCAAAGCAATGACAAGTTAGTGCTTTAATGAGTGGCCATGTAGGAGTAGTAGAAGCTTTGCTTGTTGCAAAGCACTGTAGCTAGCATGTTTTGAACTTGGCTCGCTGAACATCAATGTGTCAAAGTACAATCTTACTTGTAGGCCATAGTGGGACACTCTTTATGGGGTACAGCACTTCTAGGGTTAGTACTTGTACCTCAACTCTTGCTAATCCAATCATTCCTGCACAGTTATTCTGACATGGTATTCAGAGCAGGAAACCTGTTAAGTTTTTAGGGCCCACCGATAGTTCCGCTCGTTCCTGCCCGAAGCGCCCTTGCGCTATCCAGCCCTGCTCGCACAGTGTCGCGCTGCCCTGCAGCTACTCGCACTGCCTGCCCCCGCACGTCGCGCCCTGCTGCAGCCTGCGAGTCGCGCCCTGCTGCCCTGCCCAGCGCGCGCCGCCCTGTCCTGCAGCCCGCGCCCAGCTGCCCTGCAGCCCGTGCATCGCGCTGCCCTGCCCTTAGGCCCGCGCGCCGACCTGCCCGGCAGCTCGCGAGCCGCACCGCCCTGCCCTGCAGCCCAGCGCGTCGCACCCTGCTGCCCTGCCCAGCGCGCGCCTCACTGTCCTGCGCGTCGTGCCCTGCTGCAGCCCGCGCGTCGCACCCTGCTGCCCTGCACAGCGCATGCCCTGCTGCCCTGTCCACCACGCGCCCTGCCCTGCAGCCCGCGGCGCGCCCTGCCTTGCCCAGCCGCGCCGCCCAGCCCTGCCGAGCCGCGCCGCCCAGGCCGAGCCGCGCCGCCAAGCCCGAGCCACCCTGCCCAACCCGAGCCGCGCCGCCCTGCCTCATTCACCAGCCCCACCGAGCCGCCCTGCTGCTACTACTGCTGCTGCTGCTGCTCGTGCTACTGCTGCTGCTGGTGGAGGTGCTGCTGGGAGTGCTGGAGGTGCTGCTGGTGCTAGAGGTGCTGGAGGTGCTGGAGGTGCTGCTGGGAGTGCTGGAGGTGCTGCTGGTGCTGGAGGTGCTGGACCTGCTACTGACCGTCACTGCCTTTCATGGCCACTATCACGGCAGTTGCAGCGGCTACGGGTGGACAGCAGCAGTCACTGCCTCTCCCAGACGACCCCACCCCTCAGCAGCTTCGTGAGTGGGTTATTCAGCGAGGCAGTCCTGGTGGTGGAGGTTTTGGTTTTATGCATACTGCACAGCGGCGGCAGCAGCGTCCGCAGAGAACCTTCTCCCTGCAGCGGCCTCGCGACTGTGCTTCTCAGCGATGCGTCCCTGGTTGAGTAGAGGTTGCTGCTCTCGGTTCTAGTGAGTCTGCTGCCGCTCCAGGTGCTGGTGAGTCTGCTGCAGCTCTAGGTGCTCGTGAGTCTGCTGATGCTCTAGGTGCTAGTGCGTCTACTGCCACAGGTCCTACCTCAGCTGAGGCCTTGCACACTTTCACGCTTGACTCAGGCGCGTCACGTTGCTTCTTTCGTGATTACACCACAGTCACACCATTCGCAGCACCTGTCCAAGTATCCCTGGCTGACCCCATTGGGGGCCCAGTAGTTGCGCGAGCCTCCACTGTCCTCCCGTGTCCGGCAGTCCCCTCTGGGTCTCTCTCAGGTCTCCACCTCCCCGCGTTCTCGACGAACTTGTTGAGCAATGCAGTTCTCTAGGATGAATGGGCTGACACCTTCATTCCTGGAGGACAGCGTGTGGCGATCTGTAAGTGCTCACGGACTGGCCGTCACCTTGCTACGTTCACTCGTCAGCCTGGGTCCGGTCTGTACACACTGACCACTTCGTCTGCACAGGTGGCTGAGTCAAGTCAGGTGGCTGCATCGAGTCAGGTGTCTGCGTCTGGTCTGCTTGCAGCGTCTTGCTCGTGTCAGGTACTCCCTCACCATACTATCCTCTGGCACCACCGCCTAGGTCACCCCTCGCTACCGCGTCTCCGCATCATGCACTCCCGTCTCCTTGTCTCTGGCCTTCCCAGGTCCATGCCCTCCCTCCCGCGCTCGTCTGCACCGCCGTGCCTTCCCTGCGTCAAGGGGCAGCAGCGCGTCGCTCCTCACTCCTTCGAGTTTCCTCCGACCACTGCTCCTCTGCAGACTCTCCACATGGACGTGTGGGGCCCGGCCCCCGTCAGTGGAACGGACCAGGAGCGCTACTTCCTGCTGGTTGTTGACGACTACACACGCTACACCACTGTCTTCCCCTTGCGGCGCAAGGCGGATGTCAGCGGTGTTTTGATCCCCTGGATCCGTGCTACTCGTCGCCAGCTGCGCGAGCGGTTTCGTCGGGACTTGCCAGTCCTGCGTTTGCACTCTGACAGGGGCGGTGAGTTATCTTCTGACCTCCTTGCGGAGTTCTGTCGAGACGGAGGCATCCGCCAGACGTTCATGCTTTCGCCCTCTCCTCAGTAGAATGGGATTGCTGGTTGTCGCATTGGCCTGATCATGGAGGTTGCTTGTACCTCCGTGATCCATGCGGCTTCTCCCCATTTTCTATGGCCGTTTGCGGTCCGATACGTAGCGCATCAACTCAACCTCTTGCCCTATGTCCTAGAGGTGCTACTGGTGCTGGAGGTACTAGAGGTGCTACTGGTGCTGGAGGTACTGCTGGTGCTGGAGGCGCTGGAGCTGGAGGTACTGGAGCTGCTGGAGCTGCTGGTCCTGGAGGTGCTTGTACTGGAGGTACTGGAGTTGCCGGAGCTGGTGGTGCTGCTGGTGCTAGAGGTGCTGGTGCTGCTGGTTCTGGAGGTGCTAGAGGTGCTACTGGTGCTGGAGGCGCTGGAGGTGCTACTGGTGCAGGAGGCACTGGAGTTGGAGGTACTAGAGGTGCTGGAGCTGCTGGTCCTGGAGATGCTCGTACTAGAGGTACTGGAGCTACTGGAGCAGGCGGTGCTGGTGGTGCTGGAGGTGCTGGAGGTGCTACTAGAGCTGCTGGCACTGGATGTGCACGGGGTACTGCTGGTGCTAGAGGTGCTGGCGCTACCGGAGCTCGTGGTACTGCTAGTGCTGGAGGTGCTAGAGGTGCTACTGGAGCTGCTGGTGCTGGAGGTGCTGGTGATGCTGGTGCTGGAGGAGCTGGAGCTGCTGGTACTGCCTCGCGCCGACCGTTTTTCTACCCGCAGCCGCAGTCGTCCCTGCCGCCGCCTGACTCGGTCCTTCGCCAGGCTCTTAGTCTCCCATCTTCCACTGGCCTCACTCCACCTCTCCTGTGTCCACACACAGACCATTCTCAGCCACAGCTAGTGCCTGGCTCCCCCCTGCCTGCTCCTGCTCCTCGCACTGAGGTGACTGAGTCCCTGACTGAGCGTCGTGAGCCTGGGACTCGTGCTTCCACACCTGTTCGTGCTCGTCGTGTCGCCCGTCCTCGTCCTCCTGTTGTCGCAGGCACTCACGGTATGGCACTTCGTCCTTCCTCTGTTCCACATCGTGTTGTCCTGCCTGAGCCTCCCGCGTCCTCTCTTCCGCACGTTCCTGACCGTGAGTCCGACCTTGCTCGTGCTGCCAATCCTACTATCACTCGTCTCCTCGCTACTGTCGTCAGTGACCCTGGCTTTGAGTCTACTACTGCGTTTGCCCTAGTCACTGAGCTAGTTGACTTTGCAGCTAGGAGTCGTCTCGACTACATCGCACGTCTTGTTATTGAGTCTGAGTCTGTGTGTCCTCCATCCGTCGGGGGTGAGCCTGCCCTTAGTAGTGACGTCCTTGAGGACAGGCAGTTTGAGCTTGAGTGTCTTGCAACCACTTTACCTCGTTTCGCATCCATTCTGCTTTGCCCTGAATGAGACCCGGATGCACTTTACATCCGTACCCCACACTCTTATGCTGAGGCGATCGCGGGTGAGTACTCCTCTCAGTAGCAGACAGCCATGGACGCAGAGATGGCTTCCTAGAAGTCCACAGGCACCTACGTCGACGAGGTTCCTCCTCCTAGGGTGAACGTAGTCGATGTCATGTGGATTTTCATAGTGAAGCGGCCGTCGGGTTCTCAGCCTGCCTTCAAGGCGCGTTACGTTGCTCGAGGCTTCAGTCAGCGACAAGGGGTCGACTTCTTCCAGACCTTCTCCCCCACCCCGAAGATGACTACTCTTCGGGTGCTGCTGCACGTTACATGATAGCGTGACTACGAGCTGCACTCCCTCGACTTCTCCACAACTTTCTTGCAGGGCACCCTTCAGGAGGAGATCTGGTTGCGCCGCCCACCTGGCTTCACTGGGTCGTTTCCTGTGGGTACCCAGTGGAGCCTCCGACGGCCAGTCTACGGTCTCCGCCAGGCACCCCGCGAGTGGCACGACACACTGAGGACTACACTTGCGACTCTTGGGTTTGCTCCTTACTCTGCTGACCCGTCGCTATTTCTACGCACAGACACTACCCTGTCGCCGTTCTACGTTCTCGTGTACGTCGACGACTTGGTTTTTGCTACTGCTGACACTGAGGTGCTGGCCCTAGTGAAGGCGGAGCTGCAGGAGAGACACACCTGCACTGACCTGGGTGAGTTGCGTAGCTATCTTGGCTTGCAGATCACCCGGGACAGAGCACGGCGCACCATCACCTTGACTTGGACACACATGGTGCACTAGGTCCTTCGGCGCTTCGGCTTCCAGTACTCCTCGCCACAGCCCACTCCTCTGTCTATTGGCCACTCACTCTCAGCTCCACCTTCGGACGAGTCCGTAGAGCCGAGTGGTCCGTACCCAGAGCTTGTGGGTCACCTCATGTACCTTATGACGTGCACACGACCTGACCTTGCGTACTCTCTCAGCCTCTTGGCTCGCTACGTGGCTCCCAGTAGACACTGAAAGGTGCACTTTAATGCTGCGAAGAGGGTACTGCGTTACTTGTGCAGTACATCGGGCATGGGGTGTGAGATGAT